CAATTGTGGTCGTTGTTGTAGGGATTGTGGTGGTAGCAATTGTAGTCGTTGTTGTATTGTTTGATCCTGCCTGAACAGCACTGTTTGCTGATGCAGTGTTGGCTGAAATTAAAATTAATCGGTTATTTACTAGTTTTCGAAGGAAAAAAGTAATAAAATGATAGCTCACTGTGATGAAAAAAGGCTTTCACTAAGAAACAATTTGCAGTTTGTCTCACTATACTTTTTACATATTTGATTTATGAAACAAATAGATATATACCTGTTTGTGTTAACGTCACTAGTAAGGCTGCAATCAAACCAGCAATAGCTGCGAGAAGAATGATCACTGCCACAATAGAACAGCGACAACAGCAAGGGTTCCTAAAATATTTTTGAAAAATATATAAAACGAAGATAAATCATGAAATACTAGTACTTGGCATATAAGCCCTTTATGCGCTTGATTATTCTTTGAGTATTATTCTTTTGATCATTTTCAAAATGGCAAGGACTTGATGACGATGATCGATCTAATGGTTCTATCTGAATTGGTGAAACACTTGTCATTCAAGTAGAAATTTCGTAACCTATGAAAAACAAAGTAAACGAAATCTGCATTTATTGTGTATTTATGCTGCTGTTTATAATGTAGACGAGCGAGTGGGTGTCGTTATTCGGTGATGACGTACATACGACACTCAAAAGGTTGCACTTTTTTCAACATTTTGTAACAAAAATTTAGCAGAGGAACTGAGAAAAAACCAAATCAATCTGCCTACACCTAATTCAAAAGCAAACAAATCGATTGTGTGTAAAATGGCCGTCTCTATACAACGTTCGAGTGACAGAACGCAAGAAACACATTTACATTTTGCTGATGTATAATCAAACAAAAAATGTTGGATTTCACTTCGAGTTGTTTTTTATTTTTTTGCAAAGAATTTCATAACAACAAGCAAAGAGTATTGAATCAAATGGATTATTTGAATAACCAATTCTCTTTGCAATGGAAGCCATATTTTTATGCTGTATAAAAAAAATGCATGGCGTGGGTGAGGATGCAAGTGGGAGTGTAGGTATAAATAGGATACACTCACATTCTCAAAATGTAACACAGTAAGGCAGACAGAATTTATATTTGTATGTCTCTAATAACTATTAAACATAGAATCTCCATCTGCAGATCGAGATTGTAAACTCGCACAAGCTCTAAGCTATTTTAATTGTAAAAATGTTTTTTGAATTTGTTCAGTTTATTGTTACACTTAGAAGTGCTTAGCATAGATATTATAAACATTCACAGCAGTTTGATAACTATGATCAGTCTCAATATATGCATGCGCAAGCAGTATATTAGAATTCCACGATGAAACATTGAGTATAAATATTAAAAAAAAAGATAAACAAAATGGAAAGAAAAAGAACAAAAATAATAACAATAAAAAGAACGAACGAAAAATAAAAAAAGAACAGAGAAAATGGTGTAAAGTCATGAATAAAGAACACAACAAAAAAAAAGAACATATTCAATTTTACGTGCATAGAAATTCAAGACAATGCAGGACCAGATATTGATTTGTTTCTCATGATTGTTTGATTCGTTTCAATCGAAAAAAATAACCTAATAAAGCATCTTTAGCCTTATGAAATCAGTCTCAATAAAAAACATTCTTGTAAAAGTGGAAGCTACCTAAATCAGATTTTTCTATTCTTTTTAATTTTTTTCTTATGTATCCGTTTACACATTCTTCTAGTGAATATTTTTTAACTGTTTGAAAAAGATTTGTTGCTCGAGCAAAAGGATAGCGATGCACTAGTCGTAAATTGTTTCAAAATTTTCTTAAAAATAATTTTTTTGAATTTTCGAGTAGCATTGAATAAAGAGAAAATATGTAGTAAATGTGAATATTTTTCCTATTTCTCTCAAGATCCTGCTAAGTTTCTTACTATTTGTTATCAGCAGTATGTGTATTATAAATAAGCTTCCTTCCCAACATACTCTGTCGTTTATAAGTATTTGCTACAATTATTTAAACCTTTTTTTCAAGAACTTATCTTATAGTGTAACATATATCATTATTTAAATAGACAAAATAAATGTAATGAAAATCTTATTTCTTAATAATAATAATGGACATTTTCGATCCTTATCAACCAAACATACGAACAAGATGACAAATACAATGAAGTTAAAGAATATACACAAAAAACTTTAAATTCTTTAACAAACATAAATGCTAACAACATGAACAAATTGACAACGATGTTGATTATCACCAATAATAAATTAAATCATAATTTATTCCATATACCTATATACTTATCAATAACTCATATAAGAATATCTACTGAAATAATAATAATAATAATGTATGAAAATAACAATGAAAACATGAGATTTAATGCAATATAAATAAATGGACTAAATGTAGTTGTAACTTCATTGTATTTGTCATCTTGTCCGTGTGTTTAGTTGATAAGGATCGAAAATTTCCATTTTTATTATTAAAAAATAAGATTTTCATTACATTTATTTTGTCTATTTAAATTTGCATTAAATCTCATTTTTTCATATACATATCATTATTTAGCAGCATTTCTTTACTCTCTCCTGCTTTTCTTTTATTTCTATCTCAAAATATGATGTTGCTATAGTTCACACAACCTTTTCGATGTAACTGTTTTCTAATTGAGTTCAGTATCGGTATTTAACAAAGATTCTCACTAATTTTGTCCGTATAGATTTGAAGCATGAACATGCCTCTATCTTTGCTGAAAAAGATGAACTTGTTTGGTCAAGTCGCATTGAATTTTTTCTCGATTACCTTGTTTCTGGTTTACACAGTATATGACATACATTCAATTATTCGTTTATTTAAGAAACAGACGTTGGATCAATAATGTAAAAAACTATCGTCACGCACGTCGATTATATTTTATAAATTAAAGAGAAATGGTTGAATATTGTATGAGGATTTTTTTTCTAATTAATTTAGATTCGGCGTTATGTTGAGATGATGATTTATTCTGCTTTCGGCTTCAATTATAGTTTTATGACTTTGAACATTTTTTTTATTCACAAAAAAAGTTGTTATTCTCATAGTTATAGATGCTTTTATTTTTCATCATCTATTCAATATACTGAAATCAAATGTAAGATTGTAGTACTCAGTTATTTTTTTTTGGTAACTTTTATTAAAGTAAAACTGACAATAACATTATATTTTTAACAAACGAGTAGTAATTTAAAAAAATGTAAGTATCAGGTTGCATTGTACAAGATAAATAATCTACAACTATGATTACAAAAATCATGTGCATGTAATTGCTACGATACACTCACGCCAATTCACATTCATCACTGAGAATACCAATATCGAACGTTATTATAACGTCATATTATATTGACTTGAATTTGAAACGAATAAACGGTTTGAATTTCAGTTTACTGTATAATTTCTGCCTGATATTCAATACTTTTTATAAGAGAATAACTATTGATTTTGTAAGACGCAAAAAAGGATTGTAATTTGCAAACTCAACAAAATACAGATTTGTTGTATTCGATATGCATAAATAAGCCCTCGATGAAAACAAAAAAAACATTATTATTCATATCAAATTCTGTTAAGGTTCTGTTTTTTTTGTTTCATAGTTACGCTGTGAATATATATGTATAAATGTAAGAGAAATTCTGTGTCACACATCATTTTTCGATAAATAGACGTAGTTGAAAAGAAACACATTACACCATAAACATGTTGTCTCCTCGATATATTGCTATCGGATGTTTGATTTTATTAGGTATATTCAGCATTAAATGAACATTATAAAACGAAAATACGAATATTTTTAATAGGGATGTGCGAACTTGCCAATGGTCTCAAATGCTACGACTGTGCAAGCTGTAATGATCCATTTAAACCAAATGGCATCAATATAATAACACAAGTTGAGGGTGGAGGATATCAGTGTTATGTGAGTCAGATTTCATCTTAATTTATATATCTAAATTTAATCATACAACAGAAAGATAATCTCCAAAACCTTGCTACAAAACGTGGTATCACCCAAAATTGCACACAAAGTAATATATTGAATACTGGTCGGTGGTGTTGCAATACGGATCTATGCAATGGAGCCACCCCTACTGCTTCATCGATCCATCTTATATTTGTTCTAGCAACTATCGTCATTACAATGTTATTTTAAAAAAGAAAAACAATTTTTTTTTTTCATTTTGCTTATCTTTTTTGGGTTGCTTATTTATTATTCAATATAATATATGAGGATGTGAATGTGAATTTTTGGGAAGAATTTCGATTTTTGTCAGTGATGAACAGTTTAGCTTAACCAACAATTACACTGATCCATACTCTCAAGATGTGGCAATAAGCATCTTATTTTCTAATTTGATTTTATTATCATTTGAAACTCATGTTGTTAGATTATGAAGATGATTTCGTTAAATTGTGATTACTTTAAGCATAGTCAATGAAAGAATTAAAATTTCTTTTTCATTGGGTCACGTTGGTAAACTTTCTATATTAATAGCTGTTGATTATTACTTTATTAAATATTAATATACTGTCTGAAAATATCATTTCATACACTATATTTTCTAGTTTAAAGATAAATATTGAAGTTATCATAGAGTAAATTCATATACATTGTTTTCAAACCATTAACATGTTCGAAACTACCGAAAAATTCAAGACTGACTTTATGCAATAAAGTAGGGTATGGGTGTGAATGTGTAATGAATACAATATTCAGACCCACACCTACATTCTTAAATAATTAGCATTATTTTTTTCAAATAACAATGCTCAGTAAAGAATTTTCTAAAAGCCAATCTATCGGTGTATACGAGCCATTTTTTTACATTACCCTCCGATATGACTGCTTTTCTAGTTTTATGATTTCTTTTGTTTTAATTTTATCTTAAAACGATTCTTTCACAGGATACATCCAAACTCACTCTCAAACTAGCATATCGTATTTAGTTATTAATTGATTTAAACTGATGTTTGAGGTCGGTTCTTCAGATAAGTCATAATTTTCGTTTGCTTTTCAACTTCTTGACGATTATTTTTCAACCATGGAAATTTAGCAAGAATATGATCATCATGTTGAAAAATAGTCTCAAGTAAATCATATAGAAATAAATCAGTCCATGTGAGATGATTGCCTACAAAGAAGTAATCACCATCACTGTATATTTCACCTAAAGTTTCTAGATTTGCGAGATGTTGAGGTAACTCTTCAGCTAACAACTTCTGTATAACTGCTTGGTTTTTTGTTTCGACTTGTTTCTTATGAACTGGACCGTATTTAACTATGAGCTCCGCTATTTTATCGGCAACAGTATCTACTTTTGCTTGTTCCAAATTATCATCAGCTGCTAGTTGAAATTGTTTAGGAAGAAATCGAGCAATTGCTATCGATTGTGGTAATTTCATTCCATTATATTCAAGTACTGGCATTTGACCTAGAGGCATTTCAGCTTTGTATGGTGTCCATTGGATTCGTTTATATCGAATATCATCAAATTGTTGATCAGCAGCAGCAAAGATAAGACGGACTACTTCTGCACGATCATGAATATTAAAATAATGTAATCTATATGTTGTCATTATATTTGTCGTGTGTCAACGTAGAAATCTTTGAAGCAAAAGAACGAGCGATACTAGTTTCTATCTCGTTATCTAATGCATACACATCTACAAAGAATGGACAATGACACATGAAAATTGTTTCAAGCAATCTTACAACATGTTTTGATCTATTACTGATAGATCATCATAATGTATGTTTCTAGAATTGTTATAGCTATATCAATTATTGATGAACATAGAGTAGTAGCCATATAGATATATTTATACAAAGATAGACAAAATATTGTTTCAATTTGAGTCAAACACTACCATAATGCGTTTCTGAGTGTGACTAATAGGTAAATTAACCTCCATCTAGATCTATACTCTTCAGTTGAAACTGAATGTAAGCAAGTTAAAGCATATTTTTACTTATTATACGATATATTATTCAAAAATAAGAGATACGAACAAAAATAAAAGTTAGAATTATTAAAAGAGAAGAAGCTATATTTTTTAATCCTGCAGAAATGCGTCGTCCATCAGCATCTGTTAAACCATTTTCGGCTAGAATCTGCTTTACTTGAGCGACTGTTGTTTCTGAATTACAGAAATCTCGAGTGCATTGAACATGAAGAGCTGGGCCGAGATCTCCATCGAAAAGAAAAACTCTAGGCGAAATTTTTGTCTCACAACCACGTTTTTTCATCTTTTTTTTTCCCGTATCATATTCGAATGAACACACCTCGTTCGCAGAACATTTAACAACATTGTTGTCTAAGTTGAAACATTGAATCGAACCATTTCTTGATGAATTTTCGATGATTGGTGCGATTTCTCTGTAAACACGTGCAGCATCATATTTACGAGCTACCATTTCAGGAATTCTTCTCTGTGCATAAGCAGTGAGACAATCAGTATTTTCTGAACATCTATACTTTATCTGATATGATAAATAAGGTCCAGACGTGATGTATATATAATCATACGAATAAAAAACCGATTTGTCATATTTTACGCTATAAGTAGATGTATCGTACCGCAAATCGATTTCAGCAGAACATTTTGAAGATGAAATGCGTTGTTGACATTGACCATCAGGAATAACATATGGTCGACCAAATCGATCTCCAACAGTACAATTATTTATGCATTGAAGAGCGTAACCAGTATTCACCAACAGCAAAGATACGAATAGTAGGGTGAGCATTTTGTAAATGGATATAAAACCTTAAAAAAATACCTTTTTATATCCATTATTTACTACACAGAAAGAACCATTCTCATATACCATGCTTTACACCGTAAATATTTGCATTACGCAGTTATCTAACGTTATTCATCAGAATTTGATAACATACGGTATTGCAACGCAGCAACAGAAAAGAAAGAAAAAAAAATAATCTCAACTCTGACGACAGTAGATAAGTATATTTTAAATGAGTCATCTATCTGATGGAGTTACAGTAGTAGATAGAGAGAAAAAATTATTCATTCTCTCGCGTCACTTGTTTGCGAATGAGATTGTGTGATATGTATAAACGTCCATTCATCCTGTGAAAATTAATCTGCTTTGAAATTTAATATATACAATGATTCAACAGAGACCTCAGAATGGATGAATTAAACACTGATAGATTTTCACGAGTTATTTCATCTTTGTTTGAGTGGATCTGTAGATAATCTGTTTGTTCTGCATTTATGAAGAAATACAATGAATGATTAAATTTAATGGCGAATTCAAGAGTCCCACAAGAACTGCAATATATTTTTGGCCTTGCTAAACATCCTTATTAGACAGCTTTTTTCCTCTAATTTTAATAAGTAACGATGCGTAACTATTAGTATTAAAGAAATCAAAAAATTCGCATTCTGTAACATTTAGCATATAGTTAAATTATCAGAATAGATCAATCATTCGTTGCAATAAGATCTCGTAGAATTGATTTATTACTTACAATGCATATATCAGTACACTGATAAACTTTTAAAGAATCGATAATGTAGTTCGTACTCAAATATTGGATTACTGAAGAGCAAGATCTGTGACTAGTGAATTATCTTCTATTTTTGATATTCGGATCGATTAGTTTTTGACTTTTGTTGTTGAATATAACTATCGGATGCTCCCTGCATTAGTTCTAAATATATTTTTATCTTTGAGTTTTTTTTGGATGTTTCAGAGGATAGACATCTTTTGAATTCTAATTATATTTCAGGCAGATTTGTAGTTTGTTTTTGCTTGAAAGATTAATTTAATATGCAGAGTCTGAGTTTATTTTATAATTGTAATGAAGATATATTTAAATCGTCTCATAATAATAAATATAGAAAAAATCTAAATTAGGCTTTCAATAAATATGAACTTTGAGTTTATCTACGACATTATATATAAAAATGTTCTTAGATTTTAAGTCAAGAATCTTTCTATCTGTGTCTATTTAACAGAGAGTTATTTTGTTATTACATAATTAATATTATTATACGGTTGTTTAGATTACATTTTGACAGAGAACTAGACATGTAATCATTTTTTTGTCTTACCTACATTATCATGACATTTTATTGATAATATTCAATGCATACGCTTACTATAGACTTAATCCTGTCAGTTCCAGTCTCTTTTATAAACAAATTATATTTTTTTACGGTAGTCCTTGAAACAGTTAACAGTGCATAGGAGCGTATTGCAATCAGGATAAATATAGACTATCTACATTGTGATGTTTCTAGAATGAGTGAAGAGAAATATCGAGCGATCAGGCGAATAGTAGCCGTCACTTTAAGAGAATGCATCAGAATAAAAGAAAGTGTGTACGTCACCATACAGAACATAGATATGTGATAATAGCTAGACATCACTTAATAAACTATAAAAAAAAGTAGTTTTACACAATTAAAGAGTATATTCGAAGCATCTTTGTCAGAAAATAGTATCAGAAAGTATATATTTTTGTCGCCGAGACTCAAACACCTAATATATATAATAAACCACTTATTCTTATTGTCATGATTTTTCTTTTTGAATCTTATCATTAAAAATATATATAGTATTTTTAAACCAAAAAATTATCAACGCTTGAAGTGAAGTTTATAACCATAGTAAATAACTATGTCGATTTTAGTTTTATATTATCTGCTCATGCATCAAAATCTCTTTTAATGTTACAAAATGCGCTCTAATTCTCTTCTTTCTATCTACATCATTCTAAATATTATCTAGTAAAAAGTGGTATTTTCTATTTTACTACGCATCATTTTTAATTCATCTTATTTTCTGTAAAACATGGTATATTATATTGAATTTTCTCTAGCCTTTATCTTTGAAATGCAAGCAATTGCCATTTCAATGTTTATATTTATATATTTTGCTCAAAATCCAAGAATTCGTTTGAAACGACAACATCATAGTTGGCTTGTCTTATTGTCTATGAATTTCTTACAATTAATATTAGATTTACCTGTAGCGATGAGTTTTTATTATCGAGAAAGAGTTTGGCCTGAATCAAATGCATTTTGTTTAGCGTGGGTATGGTGGAGTTTTTCTGCTGATGCAATAGCATTATATTTAATGGTATGGATAGCAATTGAAAGACATTTACTTGTTTTTCATTCTCAAGAATTACTTCGTGGACAATGGAGAAAATTATTATTTCATTATATACCCATCATTATTTGTCTTATATGGCCACCAATTGTCTATCTCGGCTTAGTTGTCTTTCCTGCACAATGTACAAATGCATGGGACTTTGGAACACTTCTTTGTGGACCACCCTGTTACACTTATACAGGAACTTATGGTATATATGATTTTATTTCTAATGTTAGTGTTCCTCTTCTACTTAATGTTTTGATAAATATTTTATTAATTATTCGAGTAATCAAAGGAAAAATGTCTCGTCAACCAGGTATTGACTGGCGACGACATCGTAAAATGATATTACAATTTTGGGCAATTTCGACACTTCATATAGCACTTTGGTCACCTCTTGTAACAGTAAGTCTTATTCAAATGACTGTAGACCCTTTATTTATGATCGATCAATATACTACATTGGAATATATTTTATATTATATGCCACTTATATTACCAGCAACATGCTTATTTGGTATGCCTGAAATAGTTAACAAAATAAAGGATTTTCTCTTTAAACGAAGAACAAATGTGGTTACTGTAGGTGATTTAGCTCGTACACGACAAACACGACAAACACAACAAAATGTTACTGTTCGTTGAATTTACAATTAAATGTTCAATTTGCCAAAAATAATCGTTTTAATGAGCTCTAAAGACGCATAATTTCTTTGTTGTTGGTTTTATCTTGAATGTAATTATGAGGATAAAAAAATGCCCTTATTCTCATAAGACCTTTTGTATTTTATTTAGACGACGTTTTTAATTAAAATTTAAGATCAAAGAGTGTAAGAATAGAAAAATGAACATTGTCTCGATTTATTTATCTTTTTTTATGTTGTTGTGTTTCGGTGTTTACTCTTTAGAAAAATAAAGCATATTATCAATAAAAAAACATTTTTATCAAACACTTCCTCTTACAGCTTCGAAAGTAGTTACAAATACTAAGGAGAATCTATTAAATAGATATAGGAGGAGACAGAGAATGATCTGATTCAATAAGATAGATTTTAGGAAAACATACTCCAATTAATTTACATCATATTACTTTTAGTCTGAGAATATTTCCAAGTATACATTCATTTAAATTCAATAGGATGTACTTCAAAATCATATGTTAGATATTTCGACCATTTCTTCTCAACAATCAAAATACTATCATAATGTAACGAAAGATAACTAGAGAATATATTTTTTCAATCTCTCAAATATTTCATTTTTTATACTAAAAATTTTTTTTTATTGACTTGTATATTAAAAAAAACTATTAACGACGATGACGACGAGAACGAAATCGATAACTACTTCTTTTCTTATCGAATGAAACAACACCAGCAAAAGCAAGCATAAATGGTGCAAGTAATAATCCAATAAAAGATAATAATAAACCAGCAAACATTATGGCTAAGAATGAACATTGTTTTAAATAAAAATGAATTTTATCGGATTCAACATTCTATAGAAATTAAAATTCGATCTTGTTTTGTAAATATATATTATCGACTTACATTTTTAAATAATGCTCGAAATTTTAATCCACTCCAATGTACTACTTCACAACCGATTCCTCCGATTCCGAGACCAATAATAACTAATACAAAAATGCTAATTGCCCATATAAATGCTTGTTTTGAATCTAATTATAAAATAATGGAACATTAAATAATTCCTTTATGTTATTTACTTTGATTTTGTAATTTATTATTTTCAACCGTCGGTGTATTTGATATTTTTATACGTCGTCGATTAAATAAATGATCGATATGAAATACTGTAAATGGTATACCAAATAAAACAAGTGATGCAGAAATAATAACCATTATTATTCCAAAACCAAGAAAAATTGTTAGAATAATTATTTTATAGATATAAAATTGTTTTTTCTAATACATATACATCGATAGAAATTAAATAAATACAAATAAATCCTACCGCTTGATAAATATCTTCTATACGCCATGTTCCATGCCATAATATTTCACAACCGATAATCCAAAGTATTGTACTTATTAGAATCATAGCAAATACTGAACATGTTGCTTTTAGATATACTGTTATTTTTGAACAATAGTTTGTCTAGATTTATAATTCAAAGAAATTTATATAAAATATATATATAAAAGAAACGTTTTACTTGATTCTTTTTTGAATCCATTTTATTTTATTCACTTCAGACAAATATTTTCTATTTTATTCAAGTAAAAGAATCTTTTTTATGTAAGTACTATGTGAAGAAGAAAATTATGTATCATTTACCGACAGTTCATGATTGATATTCTCATCATTCTTTTGATTTCTTAATTATATGATCGTTTGAAATATAATTGATGGAAGTCAGTTTTTTTTTCTTTAATTAAATAGATGAAGAGATTATACAAATGTAAAAACGTTATATTATCGTTGTAATTATTTATTACCTTGCTCTTTCATGTAGTTGTGATATATAAATCTGAAAAATCGTCTTTTGAGAAACATACAGTGTTATACGCAAAGATAAAATCATTATTATTTACGAATATTTAAGAAATCACTGTAATATGGATTAGATATTTCATATTTTACACATGTATAAACTAGATGATTAAATTGTATAACTATCAACTATCATTTTAGTTACAATTTATGCACCAACCGTTGCATTTGATGTTGAATAAATAATTAATTTTATACATATGTACAGTATCATCTAAATGAATAAAATATCTTGCATATATTTTATTTTTTTCGTTTTATCAATTTACTCAAAGGCAATCATCGAGTTTATTATAATAAAGAAAAGTAAATCAGAACGTGTGAATATGATTTTGAGCATTATAATTAGTTGGAAAACAAGAATCAGGCTGTTTCAAAAGACAGATATTCCGTAAGAATGATTTAAAATTATTACATAAATAACCAAGATTTCTTTAAAAAAATTTCATATTTTCATTCTCGTACTATAATTTATTAAAAATACCCAAACAAAAAAACAAATCACACTATAACTGTGCTAGTGCATCGATCACAGCCGTATACACGTCGGACCAGTCTAGTTGCATCCAACTCTTGTCACATAGGTATGTAACAGAGCGTACAATAGTCTGTACATCGTTGGTAGAAAGAGTTACTTGTTGCTCACGAAGGACATCAGCGAGATAATTGTAGAGGGCTCTTGAATGTAGAATATGTCTGAGAATTTTCCAGCCGGATTGTCGATTTCCTTTCTGCCAAAATTTCTCTGCTTTTGCTAAATCTTTGACTTGTCGTTCTTGCAACCATATTTTTATAGCGTCTGAGTCCACTGATAGATTGCCAATATCAAAAGCACATTGCAACATATCTTCTTTGCGCAGTAGAGCACAGATAACTTCTATAATAGAACCTTGTTTCGCTCGTGCTATGAACTCTTGTCGATCAAGCAATTTAATATCATATTGAGATTTGTGGAGGCTACTGAGCTGCTCTGATGATACATCACCTACGATCAGAACATCCCAATCGCTTTTATCAGTATTTGTTCCCCATAGACGAGATCCAACTAGATAGACGTTATAACTTTTTGGATTGGATAGATGAAGTGATTTGAATAAATGTGCTGGTAGGTCACTGTATGCCATTTGAGTATTGATTTATTCCGTGATAAACTCTACTTTTATCATAAATAAATATATATTTATATTTATATACATTCGTTAGTCATGTGTCAGAATGTTTCATCAATGTTTCGCAATTACTTGCTTATTTCTAAGCGTAAATGTTTTCTTCTCGACTCGCCACGTGGCAGAACAAAAAAAAATGTTTTTTCTTCCTTCGATTGTTATTACATACTAAAATATAATGCAGCGCAAGAGTCAGCAGTTAAATATTGGAGAGAGGTTTATATATAAAAAAGTTTAAATATTCAGTTGAGTGAGGAAAATACTCATGTTGCTTAATATGATAAAACCGTGAAAAATCGGTTTTCGATGTTTTTTTGACTCTGCGGACACACAAGCAAGCAGACAATTTATTCTTACTGGACTCTTCTCTACGAGAAAGAGAATAAAGGAGTTAAAAATAAGAGTTTATTCTTGTTTATGATAAGATTTTTGTGCAATCACTCTAAGAAAAAAAAAAGTATTATACTATTCGTGCAAAAACTTCTAACTACAGGCAAAGTGCAGTAAAATATGCTTGAATACAAATGAAATACACAAAGTCTAATAAGTATTTTTGAACAACTCTTGTATGCATTTGATTAATCATCTATTATTTGTAAATATAAAATATGTTTATTCAAAATTTTCGTCTTTCCATACTGGCTCGAAATCTGCTGGTAAAGTATCAGCATTTAATGGATATAATTTATCATCATATTCTTTGTTGTCAATCATAGAACCGTTACGACGATTAATAATTGCATGACGAACAACCATCCAAGCACGTCTTTGATCAGGTGGTGGAATCAACTCATTGCATGTATTACCTTCTGTTGATTGTTTTTTTAAGTTATTATACCATGCTGGATGTCTTTCATTATAATATTTAGCTTTTGGAAATATAATTTCATCTTCATCTTCAGTCTCGTCGCTCTTTGCATTCTGCAAGTTATTCGGTTGGCGTTGTTTTCCTACATAAACGCCTCTTGTTGTCCAATGCTGATAACATAATCGAAGACACGGTGTATGTAGTGGGTGAGATACCCACCCATGAAATGCACCTGCCAAATGATATGTACTTTCATGAGTTTTAACAGATCTTGTTTCAGGATGTGTACACGTGCATTGATTTGGTGAACACTTTTTACAAGGATTTTCCCAGACTTCAACCTCTTCTTTGTCGTGAGGCTCTGGTTTGCTACATTTAGCACCACATCCAGGACATCGTGCTTGACAACCAAGTTTCTGTGCAATGCTTTGTTTACAACTCTCAAATGCTACAGCTTTCATTTTTTTCGTCAAATCGTCGACTCCTTCTTCAATACCGTTATAATTATCACGAATACTGGCGAACCCTTTTTTAAAACGTTCGCTGTCTTTAATTTGCATATGTAAAACATTATTCAATGAAAACATTCGAAATATTTCTGTATCAGCTGATTCTCCCAGTTTTAATTTAGATAGATTAAGTATTGCAATCCGCACATCATCTCTTACACTACTAGTGTTTGAATATTGGCCTTGTTGAACAACTTCATTCGCTTTATCGATTGCCAAAATAATAAAATGTTGCAACTTTAATACATGTTTATGTGTTACAGCAACGGCTTTTGTTTTAATTTCTTTTAAGCTTAATTCAATAAAATATCGATTAATATCATCAATATATTTAAGAATATTTTCACCATCTGCTTGATTAAAGCTTTCCTCGTAGGCTTGTTTTTGTATAGCCTCATGATTGATAAATTCACTTCTAACTATATCTTCTTTTATATTTTTTTCCATTCTGCGTTGTAAAAGACGACTGATATCCTCGATAATCTGTTTTCCGATTGTTCCAGCAAGTGTTCGTCCTAATTCAAATGCATCTTTCATCGCCATACACTGTTTATATAAAAAATCTTTACATTCCTGCATTTCATTTGTTGCATTTTGTAAATTTACTTCATAATCTGATTTTTCTTTTGCTATAGCTTCGATAATTATAGTATCAAGGCCAATTACAGCCAAATCTGAACAGAGTTCGTGTTTCTCTAAACGTCCACCTGCAGTTGTTATACATGGAGAATTCATTGCATTTTCAATAAATTGGAAGAAGTGTTGAATGGTTTTTGGATCTGATGAAAAGGATTTTGTCTGAGAAATTAATTTTAATAGATCTTCTTCAAGTTTTCCAAAAACAACATTCCATATTTCTGTAAACAGATTTTTATTTTTTTCTTCGATCTTATAATTTGTAGACCAGCTAATGTTTCCTTTCAACTCTTCCCATAAAGCATTAGTGGGTTTCGCCGTAGGTCCTTTGAAAAATGATTTGACGCCTTGCCAGACACTATTAGATCTCTTTCTTGCTTGATGCTGTGGCTGTCGCTCAAACTGCGTCAAACACTTTCGAAATCTGTTGATGTCCTTTTTATATTTTTCTTTATCCATTATTGGTAATAAATTATAAATATTTTCTTTTGATGTTTCTCCTTGTTTACAACGCAGTTCATTATTATAAAATCTTAAAATTTTTTCTATAATTGCAGATTCTGCTTCAAATGATGATTGCAGATCTCTTTGATATTGTTCGGTAGTACGATGGAAATTCGTTTGAAGTCGATTTTTGAAATCATCTAATTGAAGACTTTGATTTTGATCAAATGCTTTTTGTACTGCATCTAATAGTTGTTTTCGTGCTTCATCTATACGCGTTTTTCGTAACAGATCAAGTAATCGTTCTTCAAACATCTCTTTTAATAAATGTTGGGCAGAACGAATTGGGGATTCCATACGCTTAGTAATTTTTAATTTAATCTCTGGTGGATAACAACTTCTTTGTGTCTCCTTATTGAAATTATTCTGCGCTTGCTCGATGTTACCTGTAATAATGAGACTTAACTGATGATTAAATTGTTCGACCATACTGTTATGATCCATATCGATAAAATTATTTCTTGATAATTTCAATAATGTTTCATCAATTAATTTTTCACCATTTTGATAGACAATACTGTTTATTGTCTTAATTATACCATTAGCTATCGCTTGAAGTTCTTTCATGATAGATAGTTCGTACAGTGTTTTACATTCTAATAGCTGAGGACCTAATCGATCAATTGCTTCCCAGTTGCTTGAAATTTTTATATATAATTGTGTCATATCTGTATATGCTGCATCTATTATAGGTGATTGTGGTTCGATAGATGAAATTCTGTTGGATTGATGAAAACTTTGAGGTTTTGTAGTACTTGTGATATTTTTAAATATTATTTGTCGAAGTTTAATAATTTCTTGTGGAAATGTTTGATTTCTCCAACATCGTGGTATATTTGAAATAACATCGGTGTCATGTGAAAATGCATTTGGTAATAAATAAACATTTTCATTATTAATATCAAGTTCATCATCAATTGAAGTTTTAAGAAATTTACTATCATTTTGCAGTTGATCTTTCAATTGTGTTAGTTGTCGAAAGAATGTTTTTTTTGATGATAGATCTGCTTGATCTCTTAAAACAAATAATAGTTTTGGTTTTATTGGACTATGAATATTTAATTTTGCATAAAAACTCATACCAATTAGATCTTTTAAATTCGAACTAACTTCACCTTTATGATTAATTAAAACAAGATGTGAAGAAAGTACAGCCATTGTAATCATCTGATTATCAAATATTGAACCAGCTTCTTCTAATGAAAGAAGTCCTTCTGTATCAAAAATAACAATTGTTCTGGATTTCCAATGAATAACACTCATATACATTCCAATTGTACAACGTCCAGCACTAACACGAAAATTACAACCAAATGTTGTGTTCATTAATGATGATTTAGCCGATGATTGTTCTCCAATAACTGTTAAAACCAAAGGTGATCCCTGTGTTGTTGTGGGAAGATATTTTATGCTTTTTTCTATCAATTCATTATGACAGCGTAACGGACGACCACGAAGTATATGAATTGCAAAACCTTTCAGCATTAAACTGACGAATGTTTTAGCAATATCTTCTATAAGATTTGGAGGCTCAAATACATGCGGTGAAAGTTCATATAAAGCCATTATTTCATCACAAAAAAGACCAATGGTTAGATCAATATTCATCAGTTTCTGATTAATTTCATTGGCGAGTCTATGTTGTTGATCATAATCACTTTTAACATTATCTAGTTCTTGTTGCTTTTGTTTCTTTTCTACCTGATTGAAATTCTTCTCTGTGGACAAGCGTTCTTCTATCTGTTTCATTCGTAAACTTAATTTTGAGGCTTCAACTTTCGTTTTGCTTAGTTCTTCAAGTAATGTTGATTCATATTTTGATCGCCATTTTTCTAAATATTTTTCGGTTATTAATAATTCCGTATATGAACATTTCGTCAATAGATCAATGAAAAAAACAGTATGACGATTGATACTTGCAATTTTTGATCGTTCTCGAATTAAATTTTCTTTTCGAGATTGTATTTCCGTTTGAGGAGCATCCCAATTATTTAACAATTCCTTCTCACATTGTTTTATCACTGAATTCAGGTAACTAACTGGAGTTGCAATACGAAGATTTTCTGTTTTTTCATTTAAATCACCGAATAGTTGTTTAAGACGATCTTCAATTTCAAAATAACATTCAACGGGTGCACCGAAATTTGTCGAAGTTTTAACAGTACGATAATAGGATTGAATGGAAAATATTGATGTACATTTTATGTGTTTTTGTACTTCTGCATTTGTACTGTCTCTCAATTCTTTAAATGATTTAAGAAGATGTTGTGAACGTGTTGAATCTTTATTTTTTTTGTTATGATCATGCTGATACCATAAGTGAGAAGGTGGCGCGGTTGTCCATTTCACATACTTCCAATTTTTATACTGTAATTTAAAAGCATCAATTAACTTTTCTGGTGAATAATGTTTATCATCATAGTTTGCATCAAAAATAATGACAATAGTAGGTTTTACTTGAATTGTATTTGAATAATTCATCATAGAATTTAAAAATATACTATTAAGATCTTTTTCTGTAACATAAAGAATTTGAAGTGAACAATATGTTTGAATAGAAGTAATAATATCTTCATTGAAAATATTCATTGTTCCATGTGTATCAAAAATAACGTAAGATTCATCATTTTGCCCTGTCTTATCTGGCGAGAAAAGTACATCAATACATCCATTTCGAAGAGTAGAATTTCCATCTGTATTTAATGCTTCGCTACGTTTATCAGGAAAGATATATTGTAACATGCTGGTTTTACCCTTTCCAATTGTTGATTCACTACCAATTTGTAAAATATATTGACCACTTGTCAAACACATTATTTCAGACAATATGTTAAAGTTAATTTTATATTCGACAGAATTTATTTGATTATTCCACATATAATATGCAAATGGTACGGGTAAATCATTTTTCTTAATAAAATTACCAAAATAACGTTGACTTTCATATGACATTGACTCAATTGTTGTTGTTAATAAAACTGATTTTGTTATTGATTCTGTTATATTAAAAAAAATTTCTATTGTTGTTCGATGTTCTTGTTGATCATGTGTGTACTTTAATTCAGTGAATGATGGTAATATATGAATAATATCCATCAAACTATTATATCTTTTCAAACTATCAATTACATACACTTTTAGTGAATGATTTTGAACGATTTCTTCGACTAATGTCTGTGGATTAATCGCTTCATCTACCAGAGTGTTGAACGTTTGATCCAATCCAGTAGATGATCCAATATTTCCATAGGAGCATAGGCATGACCTCCATTTTTTCAATAATTCATAATCCTTATTAGTAAAATATTTGGCATCTACCGGCGTAGAATGAATGCAATTAGCATGTTGTAAGAGGCAATTTAAATCCATTTGAATATGGCTTTTTGGAGCATATCCTCTGGATGTAGGGCAGGTAGCTTTGGCGCCCACTCTTGCTAAAAAGTTCATTAATACATAAATACTAAGCTCAAGTAAAAGTCAAAAAATATAAAAATGGTCTGCAAGTAGAACTCTTCATATAACTATGTTTAGGTAGAAAATTTTGGATCCGGTTGACTTCAATTAGGATTGAGAGCCAATTCTAAGTTGCTTATTTCAAAACGATTGTCAAGATCACCTGAGAGATTTACCAAACGTCATAGTTACCGATACTAATAACTGAAAAAAAAATCTTATATATCTGCGGCGACTATCAAGTTCAGTTTGGCAAAAAGTTTCATTGAGAATAGTGAGAGTTCATTTGAGATTCGGTCTAAAGGACATTCAGTAAACTGGATTTAGCAGGCACTAATGTATAGAGGAAGTACCGCCCTGAGATAATGTGACAGAAATCTTTTTTACAGTAAACTCGAACATGTAGGTATGGATTTAGCTATGAGTGAGAACTAAATAGTACACAAGCACCCACATCCATATCCTAAAAGTCTTTTAGCGGATAGTCCTAAATGTTTCTTCAAATTAGCAGCACTCATCGCATTCTACTCATAAAATGTTCGTTCTAGATAATATTTTACAATTGTAATTTCTCAGCTATTTTCCGATAGTTGGAGTTTACCATCTTCATATTTTACATCTTTTATACCTGATTGTTCCGTATCGTTGTTCGGATGAAGAAATTTGCAGAGTTTGTTTTTGCATTGCATTCCATCACGACATTTTTTTTTGCGACCATACGCATGGTTTGAGATACAGTCATAATTGATACATTGTTCTCCATCATAACAAGCACTCCATCCCTCTGGATGACGGAATTTACAGTCACAGTTGAAACACTCAATACCACTCTTGCATTCTTTTCGATTACCTGTTGACGGTTGACTAGGGCTTCGTGGTGCATGAGCGAGAGGACATTTGTCCTGTGAACATGAATCATAATTTTGGCACTTTTTATGACGATATCTACATTGATTATCTTTGTAGCGGCAGGTTCCTTTATTCGCGAAAGGACAGAGCTTATGTTCTTGATCATTATCAGGAACTTGTGTTGGAACTCTGTTGGGTGACACTAAAATAGAATACAACATTTTATGTCTCCATTTTAATGATGTACAAGTGTCTTTATTGATGTCAGATGTTAAAACTGATCAAGAAAAGTGAGCTCACTATGCAGACTTTACGTGTTAAGCTCACTTTTCTTAGCTGGCAGAATTTCGTGAGGGCGTGAATGTGAATGACTAAATAATGCTACACACACCCTCAAGACAGACTGGCAAACAAAGTTTGTGCATTTTTAGGCACCGTTTCACCTCCATATAACTCTTTCTTTCAAAAAAAGAAATGAAATCAAAAGATAAATTCGAAAACGAAGAATTTCATCGTTCTTTAATCGTCAGTTCGAGTTCAATGGGTTAAAGGATTCTTTATTAAAAATCTTTTGAAACTGTATAAATATAATTAATTATATTTTTCGTAATTCTCTCGAAATTAAAGATTAATCAAAGGTTTTCATTGGTTAATGAAAGAAGAATAAAAGTGACTCACTGGATGCTTCTGAATTTGACGTGACACTTAATTTCTTCATAGGCGATGTTACTAATTCATCATCATCATTATCATCAGTCTCAATCAAATGCACAATATGTGCCTTATTCGACTGTTCTAATGGATTGCTTTTCACACGAAATTGTGTTCCAATTTTTAAAATAACTTCATCTTCACCTTCATACGCTGTGTAACCAGATACTTTTTTTCCATTAATAATTTCAATTAAAAAAAGAGTTGATTCATTATTTCCAAGAAAATCTTTAATAACATTAACTGAAGACGAACAAGAATTAACTGTCCACCATGTTAAAACTTGATTTCCAGTAAAACTGTTTCCAACAGAAAGAGGAATACCTCTCCAGACATTTCCTTTGATAGTTGGTAATTTATCTAAAGCCGTATCGAATAATTTCAAATAAGGAAACCATACTTTAATATTTTGTCTATTTGCATCTCTGAGTGCTTTATTAAGAAGACGATATAAACTTGTTTCATCACACTCCATTGTATAAATATAAACAGCAGCTGATTCATCACGTGTTAATCCGTCTTCTGATGGAAAATGACAATATTTTTTAGCTGTTTTTATATAACCTTTTAAATCATTAATTTGTGATTCAATAGGTTCTAAAGCTTTTTCAATTGGAACAAGTTGTTGATTTTGATAACCATAAACTGCTGGAAGTCTTTTCGATGTTACATCAATATCAGTAAAACGATTCATTATCGACGTTGCTTTGGTATTCTTAAATATCAACGAGTATCCAGTTGATTATTATTCAAAAGAATTAATTAAATTATTTCCGATTCTCTTTTCTTATATTTGTAACACAAGAGTAAAATTCAATATTTGTTGGTCTTGATAATGAATCTAGAATGTGAAAGAGTATGTGAGTGAACAAATAGACATGCACCAAATCCAAACGATTTGTGTTTGGTGCGTACCCCTGAGAGTGTGGGCGTAAATGTATTACTAAAAACAGCATTTTATTCGCACATTGCCTCCCCCACGCACACCTTTAAGAAACTGTCACCTTCAATTACGATCATAGCATGAATGTAAATCGAATCTCTGATTCAATAGCGAACTCAAATCTTTCTCTGAACCTATGCATAGAACGTGACCTCATACACAAACGCACCAACTAAACTATAGTCGGTGTCTAAACTTCACCTTATCCTTTTAAGTCATACCCAAATTGAAATATCAGCTCGTAATCAAACGCGGACTTAGCGTCTCGTACGAACGTAGTCTCGAAGTGACATGTATAGACGAGATTCGAACACGAGCAGCGGATGTCTGAGTTTTGTCCGTGTGGTGACATATAACTATATCAAATAAAGAGCTTCTTTCTCTTTCAAGATATTTTGGGAAGTGAAACCACTACAAAAATTCTCGTATCTGACGAGGAAATAAAAAAGAACCTTAGAAAATACATCAATTATATTTAGACATGAATAAGAGAACTATCTATCCTATTTTTAACATTGTTTACTGTTATTGTCTACCATCAAAGTCAAAGATATAGGATTTCGATATTTGCTCTTAATTTTCTAATGAATTCATTTAAACTTTTAAGTCTTTCACTCAAAATCATTAAATTTGAAGTAGTTGTACTTCAATGGTGGGACTCTGACTAAAGATATTCATTGCGGTTGAAAATTGGCCGCTGTTGCGATACTTGTTAAAGGAACACTGGATTTTACGACTGTGATTGCTTAGGCCTAGAACTGTTGCTGCTAATCGATAAAATGCATCGTGCGTCATAGTTTTGCACTTGCGAACATTGAATTTCTATTCAAACTCATGCACTTTTGCATGATCTTCCAATGCAAAACCTGCCGCTACCGTGCCACCATGTACATCTTTGTTTTTGATATGGTATAGAGTGAATGTGGTCATTCTTGAGATTATTTTCTCGTTAAAAGAGGATGAATTAGATCTAAAGATGTGTTTTTGTTAAATAGCATTTGACTGATTATTGTCACCCTTTTTATTATTAATTCTAAAGAAACTAAGAAAATTTCTCTTGTCAAATAGATCTTCCGCAAATTAGAAGATTGAAGCTGTTGAAATATTTGTACAATTTGATATTCTTAAAAATAACACAAAATATCAGTATTCGGCTTTCTAAATGCCTCGGTTCTTCTGAATGTTTCAATCATATATTTTAGATCTGTATCTGACTAATAACGTCATTTCTTTGACTATTTTCAAATGATTTAAATGTAAAACTTACCAGCATAAAATAATTCAAATGAAATGATTTGAAAAAATCGAAATAACTTTTAAATTTTGAGTTGTACTGTGGATGTGTGTGTTTATGTTTTTGTCGCCGAATGATTTTTTTCGTTCGTTTTATAAAGTAAGAACATTTAGAATTTTTTTCTTTTCTCCAACGATGCATTTTATTGCGAAACAACGCGCACACATTCAAAAGCAGACCTTCAAGGTCAACAACAAACAAGAAATGCTGTAGCGAAGAAGAGGAAAACAATTCATATGAAATAAAAATTGATTTAAATCTGTATAAATTAAACAAATATTAAAAGTATAGGTGTGTGTGTGTGATCGGTATAATACTCATACGCACACCGACACCTACACCCTCCAGTATTAGTTGATAGAGTATTTATCTTAATGAAAAATCTCAAAGAAAGCAGTACGACTATCGATGAGATAATTTTATGTTCAGAGTTAGATCAATGTAAGTTTTATGTATACATTTTGAATTTAATGTGTAGGTATTTGTCAAAAAATAATTTTCAACAGATTTCGTAAGACTTTATTTAACAAAACGATTGTTATTCATTAGATAAAAGTATTAGTTAATTTTTGTATATTTATTATTGTTAAATAGATGAGAAAAGCACAAATCATATAAATATTGTTTTCAATATTCTAACGTTAAAATACATAAAAAGCTCATTGGATTTTAATAATAAAAAAAAAAGACTATTATATTAATAACTATTGAAATTTATATAAAATATCATATAAATACAAAGAAATAAATAAAACTAACATTATTTGTTCAAATTGAATAATATTGTAAAATGTTTTCATTCTAATCAACTTTTGCTCATCTTGACGACTCATTCGTAATAATTAATGCTCGATAATAATATGAATCAATATGAATTTATAAACTGAAATAGATGTTTTATTTTTTCGATTATTTACGAAAAGAAAAGAAATTTTTCGATCTAAAAATGCAAACAAGAAATGAATGTGTTATTAACTTGAAATGATGTTTGTTGTACAATATTTATTTTATATTCATATTTACATATAATCATCTTATAATTGTATTATACGAAGTCTTCTTATTTTCTTCATTCTTTTTCTTTTCTGCTTGTTAGATGGATTTTGCCAACTTCGTCATTGTAACAGAAGTGAGTCAAAGTTTTTTGTTGTTTTAAGAACCAACAAAAATGAATTCGTCTCTTTCTCAATAATCAAAACTATAAAAGCGAAACATACAAAATTTCACTGTTTCATTTTGTGTGAGAGATCACCAGGTAAGAAATAGTTTTATTTTTATATAACATAACTATTGATCTGTAAAGAACACTACATGTCTACTTTAATTTTCAGTACCGATAATTTTTGCACTATTGATTATTCGATACTTTTATAATATATAGCAATAGTATATAATTTGTTGTTTATCAATCGATACTTTTCTAAAATAGTACTTGCATCGAAATGAATGAAGAAACTAGAAAATAAACCATATCTCAAAATTTTGAAATAAGTATTATTTTATTTGTGAATTTCTAATGACAAGACATGATTGTTCTGATGTTCTTGGACTTGGTTAAATGTTTCATAAATAACCAGTAGTGGGTGTGGGTGTGAGTATCGGTATCGAAATGGGCATGGAACACCCACACCCATCCTCAAGATAAAAACAATACAAGACAATCCTACAATATCTCAATCAATGCATGTCCGTCTTCCCCATTTCAACAATGAAAATCGAAGTTATCTATCTTGTTTCTAATTAAAGTTATTCACTAGCAAAGAAAAATAGAATATTATAAAATTGGCGTCATTCCTTTTAGTATACCGTAAATAATGAAGAAACACACGTTAATGCTAATTTTTTTATTATGTACTTAATTGAGTAATAAAGTACGTACTCTTAAAACAATGCAATGGTATAATTGATAGAAACATGAAAACAAGAGAAATAAATTATAATTTGTCAAAACATGTCTTCCTTGATGTGTATGCGGAAATAATTATTTAAATTAACATATTGTAATTATCAAGGAACTAAAAATGTATAGAAACATCAGGGTGTGGGTGTACATTCGAAACGAGTGCATCCCTTACACACACACAAACACCCACACCCTATGTTGCGACACGCCCTAACATATCGATAGATCATCTGCGATCACGTGAGAAGTAACTTGGAAGAAATTGTTTGGTAAGAAATTCACGTGTAGTCTGAAAAGTGTAGTTGTAAGAATGAATCCTTGAGTTGCTCCTGCAAATATCTTAATGGCTCTTGAGTGTGCTTATCCATAATGCATATCAAAGGTTCTTCCTTTTAGCCATAAAGTAATCCATTTAACGAGAGAAAGTCGATATTTCTTGTGATAATAAGTAATTTACGATTTCTTTTAAATTGAGCGTTTCAAGTTACCCATTATCTGAAGAAATATAATTTATGTTTGATGCATAATATATTAATTATTAACAACCTTCAGTATTAGCATCACACAACAAATTCTTCATTTTTGCTTTCGATTGACTTGATATGATCATCTGAATAATCGTAACTAAAAGAAGGAATATTATCTTAATGTAATGCGAATATATACGTACTACAATCATTATATCTGATCATTCCTTTTACATTTTTAGTCGACGACATTCGCGATCAACCAGATCAAGTTTGTTTTGTTTTGTTAAGTAATCATTCATTTCAAGCGAAAACTATATAAATCGATTTTACGAATGAAGTAAGATGAATAAATGTGATTGTGAAATACAAAATTGAAACGCTAGCGTGTTTCTTGCTATGTATTATTAAAATGTATGTTAATTAGAAAAAATGAAGCGATATATATAGTACTATTTGTATTGTATAATGATGTCAAGTACTATAATAATTTATAAACTGAAATAAATGTTTCGTTTTTCGATTATTTCTAAATAAAAAGAAATTTGTTGATCTAAAAAGGCAAACAAAAACTGAATGTATTATTAACTTGAAATTATGTTTGTTATATAATATTCAGTTTTCATTGATATTTACATATATTAATCATCTTTTAATTATATTACACAAGGTCTTCTCATTTTCCTCATTCTTTTTATTTTTACGTATAAAAATTTAATCTGATGTTATGAAGAATTGAGTGGTGTAATACTTATTCAATTGGATGGGATTTGTTATAGTGGTGTAAAAGAATGTTTGAGATAGATTTCGACTATACATTAATAAATCAACTATAAACAACAAACAAGATAATGAATGCGTGGTTATATATGACTTATATCCGTCAGTTTTGGATAAATTTTTGTTTATTTAAAATAAATTAAAAGAATGATTATAGTTACCATGATCGAAGTAGCATTTTATCTTTGTTTTACTTTTGAACAGTAAAGTGAAGTTAATCAAATAATATTTTTTACGCATTCATAAAGAATTGACATTTTTCGGGTTTAAGTATTATTTTTTTACAATAATCTTAAGACAAAACAAT